CCTGATCACTTGCTTCTTAATGTTCATTTCAATTGATGAACTTGAAGAGTAAGCTCAGTATAACAATTCTACTGACAGATCATGCAGTAATAAAGTTATTGAAATATCTCTTATTTATAAAATAAATCTGTATCTTTATAAAGTTGTTTATTTTTCAAAATGCTTTGATAGTATTCATATGCACCCATTTGAGAGCAGACTGATTCCAATCAGTACAAAGCATGATATTCTTAAGAGGCATTCTTCTGCAAGAAAGCTAGAAAGTATATATCACCTCAGAACAGTGTTAACATACCTTGGCTTGGAACACTGAGAGAAAATGACGCAGCGCCAATGAAGCTCTACTAGTAGCACCTCGTGTGCTGGTAATTTTGAGTGTATTTGGCCACTCGTGGTCGTGTGGAAAATATCTATCTTGTTTGATATTTTTGACCACTCTTGCCGATGGCACACTGTGTGCGACGCATACGTTATTGGTATTCAAAAATGGCAGCGCCCAGTGAAGAAGTAACAGAAGCAATCCTTGAGGACAAATTTGTTGAATTATGGCAAGATTACCCACTGCCTTTATAATATCCGATCGCCTGAATTTAAAGACAAGGACAAGCGTGTCAGCGCTATCCAAAAAATAGCGACAGCCTAAGAGCAAACTGGTAATCTAACTGATTAATCAAGTTGTAGGCCTACGGATCTGCGCGAGGCATCATCATCATTCAGCTCAAGTCATTGTGAACTGTGTAGGTTGGCCTATACAGCCTAGTTCAATCATTGTCTGTTTATACAGTTCTATGGTGTAGTGTATTACTGTATTATGTTGCTATATTATGTGAAACGAGACTAGTTACTAGTCAGATAGTCTAACAAATAGACCATGTAAGACTTAATAATAACAATAACAACTGCATTCCCTCCCTTTCTTCATCGCTTGAACTATCAATATGGTAGTCCGTCATTTTGATTGATCATATGATAGGCTGACCTCAGATATAGTTGAGCGAAATGTGTGTTGTGTACGGGGAGTAGTGTGGTGAGAACGTAGCGCTGCCAATGGCCAAAGTGAGAACATGGTTACTTTCTGTGTCTGAATCACATGTTGCATTTGTTTCATTTGAAGTATTATTTACTTTCTAATTTGTTGAAATTTTATGTAGGCAAGCTATCATCAACAAGGAAGAAATTTTAATGGCTCAACTAGATGAGTGGGGGCCCAAGGACTGAAGTTAGTTTAGGCCCCTCCCTTGAGAAATTTTTATAACTGAGGACATATTATTGCCCAGACTCTAACATAAGTTGTAAAGTTCCAGTTGTGTTAACCTTTTAGAGATACCAACTTTGGAACATTTATATTTAATTTTGTATTTTTTTCTGGGGGTGGGGGACTGTGTACTTGGTAGGTTACAAGTCCCTGTGGTAGTTGAGCTTACGGAAAATTTTGTCTTTTTGACACGGGAATTCCATAAATAAAAGACTAAATCTTACTCACAAAAATATATCCTTCCCTTCGAAACACTCCCGCCACTCATGTGAGCTCCTCGGTCTTCTCTTCTGCTCTATGGACTTGACGTAATTTTTACGTCATAGCCCGGGAACATTTTCAACCAATAAAGAACTCTTGTAATAAAGTCCGAAACCCGGTGCTTTGTCCTTTTTGGTCTTTGTCTGTAGATTAAGAGTCCGAAAAAAATACCCCCCATAAAAGAGGCTGGATCGAGTTTGGTTCAAAGTTTTATCATTTTGCATAGTGAAAGAATGATCTGTGGGCCCCCTGGAAAATTTTGTTACTCCTGCTCGGCTTAACGTCACCTGACTTTTCATAGAAACGCCACTGCCCACCACAGATGCAGGCAAAAAAACACACAGGTTGTATTTACATCAAGTTTTATTGTTTACCTTGTCCAAGCATACACAACAAAACTTACATGATTTATTACATTTTTATATAAAAAAATTCATTTCATGGATGATAAAAGTTGTAAAATATAAAATCTTGACGAGGCAAGACTAGATACAATATATTTTTTTTCTGTTTTTTCAATATTTCAGAAAGACTGGGGTTGGTTTCTATGAAGTTTCATGATCTATGCATTATTTGAGTATTTGATGTAGTACCCAGGTTTTCTAGCCTTTCTTTGTGCATCAGGAACACATATATAATATACATTGCAGGAAACAATATGATATTCACTGTTTTATCACACTGAAAAACCAAAAAATCAGGTATTACACAGAAAATCTGTTAGGACAAAAAAAGAAGCTACTTATATATGATACATGTTTCTAAATACATTAAAAAAAAGGCCAGAAAAACTCTTACAATCCTTACAAATGCAAAGGATTAACTACAATTTAAATTTAAGTCCATGGCAATTGAGAAATATGTACATCTTGAGATTAGTGAAGGCGGAAATTAACTGTGATGAAAAAGTTTATATACCAGTCTTTCCAATTAAGTTGAGAGATTATGAGATTAGTACTCAGTGGAAGAACAATAAAAGCTTAAAAATATAAAACTCTAACTACTTAAGAATGAGCACAACCATCAAGGCACTTTTCCATCATTTTACAATGGCAATAAATCACATGTTACAACTGTTGGACTAGTTATGGACTTCTGTTCGATTGAAGAACAAATGCAAATTCAAGCAATATATTTTTTGTACCATTGCAGAAATCAATTTGAATTTGCACATTACATGCCCTGCATAGATAGTAATAAATATCTGATGAAGGCCTGGTTTCATTCTAGTATCACAATTTATCAATAAATTAGTTTTGTAAGGATCAGAGTCATCATACTGTGTAGTTTTGGATACAACATCCTCATCAGTACAGCTACAAGATCAAAGAAGAAAACAATAAAGCATTTATAATTACAGCAAGTAAAATTCCTCAAAACACTGGAATTCATTGTCCACAAAACAAACAGAAATGTCTCATTTGAATTAAATACATGTACAAATGTATGTTGGTTTGAAGAAAAAGGTGACCTTTGTGTTTTGGCCTTTATATTATGCATTATAATAGGGTTACAACTTTGAGATTAATACGAAAAAAAGGAGGTGTATAAGAAAAAAAACCTTTTCACCATTAAGGCTTTGTTTTCAGAATACTGATGCCACTAAACCCAATAGAACACAGGCAAAGCAGAATGCCATAAATTCAGTGGAACCAAAGAAACATTATCATTTTGGAAAGACGAAGAAAAGAGGGAATATTAACAACAAAAATGTAAAATTTACTCTGAATACACCTTAAATCTTCTTTAAAGATTGGCATTGGAAAAAAAATATCATTGATTCAGAAAAAAGGCAAGGTAACAATCATAATAAGTGAAAATAAATAATAATAATAATGCTATATTCAATATAATGGTATAATACAATAATGCTGCTAAATATGACTTTATACAATAAAGTGGGACAACCTGTAACTTTTCCTAATTATCTCGAAATTACATCACTCTTCATGACTATTTCATTATTTACCTTCAAATACTTATCCATGAACTCTCTCTCATTCATTTTCTGTAACTTTTCTACCCTATTTCTACACAATTGTACACTAATCAATTACCATTGTACCTATCGGGACTTCAATTGTGTATTACATACATTTGACCCCACTATAAACTTAATGAATCCCTTTTCAAAAGATACAGTAAGAGATAAAGTCTTCAATTCAAATCCCTTTTATTTATTCCAAGCGCAGCTATTGATTTTCCTACAGAAGGAAACAGTGTTTTATCAACTGATGTGCCAATGAAATATTACCCAACATTTGATGCTACAGGTTGGCCTTAAAGTACATTACAAGGGAAGTAACTCTTGCATCCATGAAAAGAAATGTAGTTATAATGATACTTTGTTCAATTATTTATCTATATGACTAAAATGAAGAACCAATCATACTCCGAAAGTAACGAAATACAAAGTATATATTTTGTAACAACATTTTCATTTTCATTTTTCAAAATAATAAACACTGGTTAAGGGCCAAATTGTTCTGACATTAATAAACACAAAATTGCATTATTTTCTTATGAGTTTGACTTTTTTTTACAACCCTACATAATAAGGTTTTATAATGCCTAGGCATATTAGGCATGTATCAATTGATTTGCATATACCAGTATTGTCAATCAATGCCTGTTGGCACGCCCTCTTAACAATTCATTAACAAATAGTAAACATAGCACATCTATTATGCAAAAAATGAAAGTGAATTCAACAAAATATTAAGCATATAAGCCCCAAAAGCCTTATTCCAATTGCACACACATAATATTAGCAATCTGTAATCATTTCATAACAATGATGACATAAATTAAATGTTTAAGATAAATCTAATTTTTACAGTTCAGATAAAGACTTTGTTCTCCTTCATACTAGTATATAAGTTTCAATAGCCTATTTCTTAGAAATAATGTTACAAAATATAAACTATATTATGAAAATATTCATGAGTTAACATAATCTTAATAAAGAATAAATGCATCAGATACGTTGCAGTGCAGATATATTTTTTTCATTAATTACATCCTTATTCCCAAGTAAATAATTTGATTAAATATCAAACAATATATTTGTCAAACTAATTATTTAATTTTGACCTTTTTTCATTAAAGAAAGGATGTATCGCTTTTAAAATCATTTAGGCTTCTAAATATGTTGGTTATATAATATTTTCATTATAAATTTCCATATAAATCCCAAATAAATAAATACATACCAACCAATATATTTGTAACTAATATTTCATTCTAATTTAACCTTTTTAATTATGGCAAGGATTTTGTTTCACTTGTGAAAAATATATTACATTTTCATTCTCCATTTTTCCATTACAGAAATGGTTTAAGTTTGGTTAAAAACCAAATTAAGCTTCTTAAGTCGTTGTTTCTGTTTTCTGAGAATCATCTCCCAGTTTTTCTGATGAAACACTGTCAGCTTCATCTGTTTTTAGAGTTGGTTCTGTTTTCACATCACCAGTCTCCTCAGTTTTCAATGAAGATCATCACTTTTAATTGATTTTACATTATTATTTAGAGTCAATTTCTCGTCCTTTGATAATGCATTATCATTTTCCTCGTGTGAAACTTCACTGTTCGAAAGATTGACATGATCGTCAATAAGATCCGTTGTATTTAGAACAGCCTCAACTAAAGGTGATCCTGCTTTTATGAAATCTTCGGGTTTCCCTTTATTTCCTTCTACTTTGGATTCAATTTCTTTTGAATCTGGTTTAGCAGGTTCATCATTTAAAGAACTTTTAAAGTCAGAAGGCTTCTCTACCATGCTAGCAGCTACATTGGCCAGAGGATGTTTGCCTTCATCCGAAAATCTTAGTTCTTTCTTTGCCACACCATTTGAAGCAGCATTCTTGGATTTATCGTCTTGATTTGGTGGGCTGGTTTTTTCTCCACTGTTTGAAGTGTTCAGAGACAAGGGAGATAATGGACTCAAGTTAGCAGCACACTCAGCGACCCAGTCTCCAACTTTGACCAGACCTTCAGGAGTCTTCATTTCAGGAGATGTTAAAGGCGAGAAAGATGGTGCATCAGGATTTAATTTACAATTCAGTTTCAAAGCATCGCTTTCGTCATCTGAGAAATTATGTGACGTGGCACCATTGGTTCTGACAGGAGTTGTGGGAAGTTTGTTGCCCATTCTGTGATCATCGTTTCTATGAAAGACCTCAGCAGCATCTTTAGCACCCTCGAAACCACCAAGCTCATCCTCCCAGGATAACTCTGAAGGAGACTTGGCTGAACAGGAGCTGTTCGATGCAGATGGTATTTTGACACGTGGAGCTTTAGGTTGATCATCGTTTGAATATTCAACCTCCACCAAATGTTCACTTGGTTTTGTGTTGTCGATTTTGACAGTTAAGCTATCTCTTTGACATTCCACAGTTCGACCTTCACTACTATCTGACGAAACAGTTCGTGCTCTTGATGATTTTTCAGGACTATGTCCTTTTCCCTTTCCCCGACCTCGACCTCTACCTCTTCCTCTGCCGCGGGGCTGAGGTGCATCATGGTCCATTTGAACACCTACAAAAAACAGAAATAAATGATTAACATACCTTTGAATAACACATAGTGATTCTAAATTCAGTTCTTCTGTTTGATACAATAAAAAAAGGAATTGTATAAAATGCAATATTGATGACATTTTAACTGATACCATAAATTGAATCTTACAGACACCAGATCTATCATGCATAGCTACTACATTTTCACAGAGATCAATATTTATCAATATTTGCTTAAAAATTATTGAAAGATCTCAATTTCAGATAACCATCATGTTTTCCATTGTTAAATTCTATTCTGTTTCTCCCACAATAAAAAAATATGCACTTTTGGGGCATTAGTAACCTTCTCACATTTACGTAGTATTGGTGATAGCACCTACAGATATGTTGAGTACTACAGGTTGTCCATGAATATAATTAATCCCACATGCATACCTCTTGGATGGGGAGCTGCATCTATTTTCTGTGGTCTTTCTTCTAAATGTCTGTCAAAACGTCCACTGCCAATTCTACCAGCTGAAAAAAAAGGAAGATTAGGTGATTAGAGAGGCAGAATGGCCAGTATTGGATTGATTTTAATGTAGATAACAGCAAAAATTATTACCTGGGCGTTTTGCTGGTTCCATTTTTGAATCATAACTGAAAGAAAGAAAGATGAAATGCAATATTAACCAGTAAGTTACTCGAGAAACTCTAAAATGGATAGATGCACCATTTTTTTACCAATCGTTTCCTAGTCTGGGAATCAGTAATAGTGTTCACAGATCACCGTCGCAATTTGAGCCTTCGAATCCATGTGCGTCCAGAATTATCCACGTTTGAAAGACGACTCATGTTTTTTTTTGCTTTCTGCAATATATAGAAAAACATCTATGGAAATAGGAAAAGAAATTCCAAGTTTGAGATATTTTTGAAGGTATCATGCGATTTTCGAAGATTTCTAGTTCTACTGAAGACTATTTACATATACCGTATTCAAGACTCAAATCAACCCCCCAAAATGGCTCATCTGTCCCTTTAAGTTTTGCACAAACAGAATTCTAAAATGTTAGTTGTGTAAGGATTTTCATATCATCACAAGGAGAAAATCAACATGTAGCTATTTAAATTGCAATCAATAAATGGCTCAGATAGGCATAAATGAATCCATCAGGTATCATTCAAGATGGAAATGAACAGTATTAACATAGGAGTTAATCTATGTTTTGGCAATTTCATTTGTATATCCTCTTGCATATGAGCAATCACAATGATTTACAAATTCAATATCAATCATCAATTTTTGATGGGTCTGTGTGTATTTTAGGAGTTGGGTCTTACAATGTTTATAACTCTTATTTGTTTCACTAAACTTTTCTAAAACTTATTCCTGAAATGTGTTACATAAATAAAGCAATTTCAGACTTTCATAATGTCTGTTTACTCCTTCCTTTAAATAAAAATAACAGTGTTGCTAACATCAGATCAGTATCAATGAATGGCAACAATGATAATATCACTTACTCTTGTTGAATTTTATCAGCATCCCAACTTCGTCTCCAGTCACCTGACGATGTCTTCTGTCTATTAAGTCGAGCTTTATCAACACGATCACGTTCTGACTTCCACTCTTGATACTGTCGTCTTTCTTTCCCTGTCATGGTGGCTGACATTTCAATTTTAGATTTTAATCCAGCTTGTCTATCATCCTGAAATACAGAAAATATAAATCAGAGAGTTACTGTTCTGAAATAAGATATTATTTAGATAATGCAGTATCATTAAACTATTTAAACCAAACTTTCATTCTGTTTTTTGTTATTTTATATTTTTAACACAGCTATTTCAGTTACGGTCTGCCTTTTGAATATTCATCCCTTTGCCAGCCAGTCAATCAAATTTCTTCCCTCTCCAACACCAGGAATTGAGGATGCGAAATAAATCCGCTCAATACACCTTTCCTTCATTCATAAAATTCCAACAAAACAAAAGTTTGGTTTATTTCATTGATAATCTCATGCACAATTTTTCAATTATTTCAGGGGATGAAATTTACAAGCACAATCATAAAGTGACCCTATTGTAAGAGAGGTAATATGAAATAATATGGGTTATTTCAGACATCTTTCACGAATAAAAATCTTGAGATCTTTTGAAGTAATCAGGACTGGTTTTCCGCTTGGGTTTGGGTCAGCAAGACAAATTTCATACTTTTACATATTTCTTTTATGCAATATCATATGAATCTCATTAAGCAATTAGTTTATCAGAAACTAATGAGTGACTAATGTAGTGACAAACATTATGCAGTAATCAATCAAGGAGAAAAAAAGCTTACATTAGGAATTAGATAATTAAAATCTAACATAATGTGACGTGGGTTTGAATCCAACTCAAGGTAAGAAAAATTCTGATGCCAATACCAGTGCTTCTGAGAGTCAGCCCAGTGTCGGCCTTCTCCCCATAATACCTAATTATAACCCTGTGCTATGATACAAGAGTTTGAAATTCAAATGAGAAATGGGATCTTAGCCAACTTCAAATAAAGTTTAAGATCAAGTACATATAATAAGTTGTATAATATTGAAACTGAAATTCAAACCTGTTTTTCTTTTTTGTGAGGCATTTGACCTTTAACCTGTGAAAAATCATCTCCCCCATAATTTTTATGATGACGTCTGTTTGAGTCTTCATGATATGAGACTGGGCGATCTCGCCTCTGATCTGTTAAATAATTATAACTTGGCTCAGCTGGGCAATTCTGAAATAGAAAAATAAAAATTTTGATTAAAATTTATGAGCTGATATTCTGAACTTCTGGGCTAATGATATTGGCTTGACATTGCAGATTGAAAGGATGGTGTCAGTAATAAAATAGTTTTCTACCATACAAAATAGTTCAAAGCCTTTCTATTTAGATGAATAGTTGCGAACCGTTTCTATAATCTTAAAAGATCAAGAGAGAAATATAAGAAAACAAATGAAAACTTAGACAGAAAGTTCCATTAGTTATTGGCCTACACGATGTAAATGTGCATCAGCTGTTCAAGGACATAAGAAATTACTTACTGAATTACAGTTGGCTTCACTTAATGTCATGTACTTTTATCAATGTATATTGTATAAAGGGACAAACCCAGTTAAAACAATTTGCAAACCTAGTCCAATGACCTGTAAAATGAACCCTTGCAATACTAGCAGCGGCTCTATCAGCAACATGATTATGAGCTCAAATATCTGAGCAGCCATTAACAAGTGATGTTAACGTCATACACTATAAGCTATATTACTTGTTAGTTATATGACCTAAAATATCTATGAACCTGTCAATTAAAACTTAAAATCTAGAAAGACTTACACGTGGCTTATCTTTTTTAGGTGCTGGTGCTTTATAACTTCCATTTTTTGCTGCTATTTTTTTGTCTGCTTCTATTTCCTGTAAAGATACAAATAAAGCCATTTTAAATACTTCATTCCATGTTTATCTTGTGCAAACTGCACTCTTTTTTAAAGTAGAAAGTGTATATAAAACCTTACTGGTCAGGCCATTATCCCATAAAAGCACTGTAATATCATAGATATTCAAAAACCTACCTCATGGCGTTTTCTTATAGCATCATTTTTCTTACGAATTTCTTCCATTTTCTTGGTAAGGAGAGCCTCCTTTTCCTCCTTGGTGAGGATATCCAAGAATAATTCCGAGTTGAGGTCAACATTTTGTATCTAAAAAATCATAAATAAAAAAATGTGATATATTTCTGGGCTTGATTTCCAAAATAAAAGCTTCAAAGATTAAATTCCACCAGTCCCTTTAAATTTCATCCAAAATCCCTGTATGTAGTTGGCTTTTTTATTTAAGAGAAGACCACAATATGGTATATGATTAGGTATTCTTGTTGGTCAAAGTCAGAGGGGCATTATAATGAAGTTATACAAATTAACAACAGTATGTAAAATATCCTACAAATGTTCAGACTTATATAAATATATTTTGAAGTATTATCATTTTGACTAAACTGAGCTGAATCAGGATTAATCAGGAAAGAAGGATCGAGATACAGTCGCAAATAACTAAATACACCCAAATCATATTTTGTACATGTTCCTAAACATATATTTGATATGGGCCAGATAAATTAACTGAATCTTTAAAGTTTGTGAAGCATATATGAAACAACAGATTGTTATGAAATCTAATACATGAAGGCCTGTATTTTGGATTTGAAATAAATCGCAAAGCACGATCTCTACTACATAATGCAATACTCATATAATTCAACTACCAAGCCTAAACTTTTATTCCTACATTATTTTCACATGCATCATCAATTAGATAATATAACATATTGCAATATAATTCAACTGATAGTTTGCCAATATTAATACAAATTCTTGATACAAGTACAAATATATATTTGTGTAATTATTCCAAGTTATATTTATCATTCTTGGTGTTATATTTTTAAAGAGATACACAGAGATACAGTACTTTAATTTTTTACATAAAAGAGCATTAACCGTTTAACTCCTCGGCCCAAACACTTCATATTTCTATGAGGTGAAGGAATCAAATCAATAGTAAACAAAGTCAGACATCAGCAATCAATTGTTTAAAATATGTAAATCTTCCTAATTCGCCCCTCCCCCTCTTCCTGAGAAAAATCCTAACTGTGCCATTGTATATTGCTATATCGTACAATAAATATCACACAAGCAGAAGAATAAAATTCAGTCAAGGCCAAGCACTAAATGTTATGTTTTCTGTTGATGTTCATAACCAATTTTATTTCAACATTTCACCCACTCAGTCATATTACCATAAGGTTTTTCCCTAATTTTGTATAAAATGTTCATAAACATGAAAAAGGTACAAATATGTTAAAAATGTCATTATAAAAAGATTTGATATGGTATCTGAACAATCAGCCTAAATCAAAATTGACAAAAATAGGTAAAAAATGTTGAATAAAAGAAAATAGCCCAGGGTCAGACAGAGATTCATCTGATAACTACCCTTTTACAAGATGTCAGATGTCAGTAAAGTAGGTCGTCATGTCAGTAACTGTCATCTCAAGTGCAGATAACTCCATCCTTCTATAATCATGTCAATGTTAAAATGGATGGAATTTTTGCCAAACTGTCAAATATAGACATATAAATAAATAATATAATCTATGGTATTCATATTAGCATGCATGCAGGAAATTTGGACACTAAATTTTTACAGAAAATGGATACATAATTAGACATCAATCTGTAGCAGGAAATTTCTCCATTTTGAGAAGCATTTTTTGCAAGTATTAACAAGAATCTTTGATACAGGTTGGTTATTCTAAAAGGATTGCTTACTCTAATATGCTGTATATAATAAACTATAAAGGTGTCCATTCTATATTAAATAGCCCTATGGGATCAAAGAGATGCTCTATCAAAATCCATTATAGAAATTTCAGTTATATTTCAGCTCCACCTTAATGATGTACAATGCCCTTGTTTTGATCTAACTAAGTGATTAAATAACGGCTATATAATATGATATAAGAGATATCAGGATGATATAATAAGGATAATACATGATATATAGAACATAATAATTATACTAGATATATATGTATTTATAATTGTTAATATTAGAACACATCATTATAGAAAACCCCAGAAAGTTATATACATACAATTGTGATTAGTAACATTGAGAAAATTCTGTTATTTTTTGGTCATCCCTCACATATTGTTTATATTGAATCAATTTTAATAATGCAAAGCCTCTATCAAAGCAACTTAATGAGAATTATTTTACTAACACAGCACAGCAATACTGGAAATTGTAGTATGTAACATAGCTGTTAAATAATGCTTAGGCAAGCTTAGTAAAATCACCCATAATGTATGCTTAGCTACAAATCCCAGAGTTTGTAATAAACACTAATCATCTCAAGCCCCTCAGTTTTGTTTCTTACTCCCTGATCTAAGGCCAGTTCCTAGATAATAATTATATAACTAAATAATAATTTTCCTTCATTTATTTCATAAAGTTAAGTAAAACTGGGGATTCCTCTACTTCAATGCTAATTGTTCTAAAAACATAAAAATCTGATAAAATTACATTCCAATTCGTTATCATAATACATGAAAAATCGCATAGAAACAAATTTTAAATTTTATTCAAAATCAAACAAAAATTCAATTCCACTGCAAAAGTCACACCAAAAATGCAAACAGCAGCCATATAATTTTCCTTTTTTCTATTTTCAAAAGAAGAGATAATTTGAGTTCTAGGAAGTGAAAATGTTTTCAATAGCCTGGTAAATTGCCATAATGTTAGCCAGATGGTAGAGGCTAATACCAATAGCCAGTCACAGACAGTAGGAGACTAGACCAATATATACTGGTAGTGTAAACTGCCCAATACCTTCACTTTTTCTAATGCTCAGGGCATTCCGCTTTTTGTATGTAACATTTTCATTATCAAAAGCGTGTAAATTTGAGAATATAAAGTATGCTATTTACATTTATGTACCGGTATGTACTTTATCAAATTAAATTTTTTATGAAAGCCTTATTAAAAACGGAGAGTTCTAATTAAGCAGTTTAACCTGGTTTTGGTGTTTGGCTCTATAATGGCTCGATTTTATTAGTTGAAACATATTTAAGGCATATTTCTCTATAATTAGGAGTTTAATTCACAGTAGTTTTTTAACAGCTTAAAAAGAGCAAAACAAACTTAAAAACCTTACTTAATGTTTTTAGTAGTTTTGGTGAAGACATTGATCTTTAATTCCATGTTTAACATAGTAATAAATTATTGTTTAAACCATCATTTCATCAAGTCATTGCATGGAACTCAAGACTTGAGAAGGGTGTGCTGTACTTAATTTTTTGTTTCTCCTCTCTAATGTCAATAGTATACTTCACATTCTTATATTTTTTGAGGAAATAAGTACAAAGCAATTGAAGAGATCAAAACAATGTCCTCCATTCAATCAATCAGTAAGGTCAATGAGGCAATTTACACCAACCAGGTCAAGTGTGTGATGATTAGGAATAGAATATTCTGAAACTATACACTGACACTCTCTATAATTATTTTCTATTGGTCTAGAATAGTTTGAATATAAAGGTCAGACAATATGTCTAAATTTCACAGCTCCATTTGTGTTATCATGTTGGGTGAACAGCAAGCAATTTCCTCTCAGCAAACACACAATTTTGCTGTTTAAAGCGAATTAATCTTCAATTAAAATTCTTAATGAAGAGGTTAAGATTTTCAGCCCTGACAAAAAAAAAATACATTCATTGATCAAAGCTCGAAGTCAAACACAAGCTAATGTTTGTCTTAATAATACGTTTTTTTTAACATGTTTCAGTACCCTAACCTATTAACATTCCAATATTCCAACATTTTAAAAAGGAATAACCACAAACATTGGTCATCATTGGAAACATCAGATTCAACAATAAAGTTTCTTTGGAACATGAAAATTAATTGGTTTTACTATAAAATCATACACATTGTAAATCAATTTCAGACACATTCAATCATGCCCGTTTATATTCAAATTGACTAGGTTAAGAATGTCTTTTTTAAAAAATTATGATGTTATATTAGTTAATGTGCATATATTATGATATATTTTATATTTACAAACATGTTACATCATTTTCACAGTGTCAAGATAATTTCAACGCTGTCTAATATTTGACATCATTAGTCACATTCCTTGTATATCTTTATGAAATATCGATCAAGCCAATTTTCTTTGTGTAAATAAAAGCAAAAGATCCCAACGCAGACGAGAAGAAGCCATATTGTTAAAAGCTTTTCTGATTGGCTTCCCTAATACAATCCAATCAAATCAAAAACTTCCATGATATAAGATAAGTACCTTAAGGTGTCCATATTAGAAGAAATTTGTAATACCTTGACATTGTGAAGATGATGTATATTATACTAATATATATGGCTCCAATATGCACTGTTTGTTAGTAAGTTTAGCTTAGAAACCTCCTTAATGCTGACATTTAAATCTATATTCAATCAGTTGCAGATTGTTACAAAATGTATACCAAAAAAGCATTATCAGCTGATCCTTTGAAGGTACTGGTCACAGCATAGAATTAGATACTCCATAACTCAGAGTTAGACAAATGGCGTTAGCTAAATTTGCCACTGTAGCACTAAATAGAGCAATTTCCATTTAGGTTAAATGCCTAATGAAGAAGCGTACAAGAAGTTTCAGAAATTATATCAAAGCCTTTGCTATTAATTGCTTCAAGCCGCTAACAAGCAAACATAATCTTTGGCCAAATTAAAGAGGTTTCACTGTACAATCCAATCAGTTAGTCAAATTAATGTCAATCAAAAAAAGAATAACTTCTCTACCAATAAGGACATTGAATCCATGTCAATCCCGACCTCTGTGCCCAACTGAATAAAAAATTTGAAAATGAGAATAATGCATGGTTGGGTTGAATTTTACTTTGCTTTTGCACACTTTAACAATCAGTTAACACTATACCAGCCATTGACACTTTATTGAAAAATTGAGACTAACAATTAAAATCTGATGAACACAATGTGAAGCTCTTACGAAAATGTGTCTTACAAAGTTCATAATAGCTTGACATTGTGAAGATAGGATATCCCCTGGACAATTTGTCCAGCTAATTGTCAACATGTGCATCTGTAAACATTGTGGTAGGAGCAAAGTCGAGCCTTAACTTTATACGGAACCAGATACATGTCCATGGAATATGACGAGGGTAATCAAAAACATTTGAATTTAGACTTAAACCCATTGACATGATTGTCAGCCCTTTCACTTGCAACACAAACAAGACACTGGTTAATTTCTCCCTGACCCCATGTCGTAATCATAGCCTAGTCATGATATCTTCTCTGGCAGTATTGAAAGCTGAAAGATTTTTTTTAAACTTTTACATGTATGACGGACACCGATAGCATCATTTAGAATTTTTATTCGACTGTGGATCGTGCAATTCCACTATTGCAATAGTATTCATTCAGCTTCTGTGATAGTGACATCATAAAACCCTTACTTTTAGATGATTTGCACCCTTAGATGTCTGACAAAAAATTGGAAAAGTGAAAATTGACCATATCAGTGTTCCCTGATACACATAAAAAGTTTAGAAAACCTATTTACAATCCCTTTAAGGCAGATTATAAGATGTTGCTAAAGATCAAACTCATCTACAAACTGGAAGCTTCATCTTATTTGATGTTATATGCTAAGCACAGAAAATGTCGATATTATAAAACAAGCACCTGGTGTAGTTGCTGCCATTGGATGTGCAAAAGCAAAGTATATAACAAAATAGTGGGGTATATCACATCATAAGAGCATGAAATATCAATTAATACTATAATACTGTAGTTTATAACAGTTAATTTGGGAATAACAGTTAATATTGCACATAACTATTAAAAGCGTGCAAAAGGTAGAATTTAAAACAACGTAGTACATGTTGCAGAAAGCCCATGATATTTAGATATTTATAACGTACAGTAAGTATATAGGTCCAACTACTGTATACTACATATAAAGTGAAACAGTATATAGACTATACCAGTTACTGGAACTTGCAGATTCCTGCCAAATGAAACACTTGATCGAAAAGTTTCTACAACTCAGACAAAGCCACATTGATAACGTTTCACAAGACTACATCCAGTCAAACGATTACTAAATGATACAAGGTTAATAAAGGAAAGAATTTAAGGAATGTGTCCCACCTGAGACTGTTCTTTCGCCATTATAACAGGATCCCTCGGAATACCCGTGTGGATTTTGCTAAAGCACCATGGGCAAATGGTGGATTGATCGAGACTACTATTGGCTGGGTGCCCACGATGACGAATAGTTTGTATGGAAACACACGAGTATCAACGAGTAGAACTATTACTCTACTGTATTCGAACAACAAAGCATTAATTTCCTTGTTCTATATAGGTTAACGAAAGTCAAGGATTATCACCAGAGGCAGATTAACCTATAGGCAAACTAGGCAGCTGCCTTTCGGCTCATGGAAAATTCGGCCCATGACAAAAACCAAACAGTTAATAAATTTCCGCAGGCCTATCGAAAAATGTCCTACTACGAGCGTGATGTTTGAGAATCGACTAAATTGTTTGAGCCTAATGGTGATGAATGACGATTTAGTGCATACGATTGATGCTGATTGATCTGTTCCTGAAAAAAAAAAGATCGCAAACTTCCTGCCATCAAATTTTAATCACACCATGCTCCCTCCCTAAAATGAGAAATTAGGCCCTCTACCGTTCTACAAGTCCAAAATCCGCCTCTGATTATCACTATGCATGTAATTGAGGGAGGGGCGGAGGGGATATTGCCCAATGCCCAGCTGACCAGGCTTAACATCCCCACCCCTTAGTTTTTTATCAAAATACCCATTCGGGGCCTCCATCTAATAATTCACAAAAAATCGCCACTGACCCGGGCCAATTTTAAAGATGAATGATTGACTGATTGATATGCAATTTTATGTTCTACTGTATGCTACCGTGCCTGATTGATCTAATGAACACGAACTTCTTGCAGTGTGCAATGGGGGTAGGTCATCGTACCCAGTTCAATAACATGACTCAGATGTTATAAATCTTTGTATGATCGTTTTAGCAATTTTGGGAATAAATGACAAAACCTAAGATAATCGAAGAATCCTGAGGAATTACTTGATTCGTTGCCATTAAAGCTTTTACTGTTAAAACCCGAGAACGACAACATTTTAAATTGAGTATACACGCTTCACAAATTTCCAACATAACGGGATGATGTGCACTGGAGATGCTATATAGATACAAGGATAAAGGGAGATATCATGGGAATAAAGGAGCTTAAACAAAGGTGCCGTGTGTCAAGACGATAGAAATAGAACCGCTCAGACCTTCAAATTAACCTAAATTATCTATGAGTACTTATAGCTCAAACCATCACCACCCATAAAGTAAAATTTACCTGTAATTACCTGTCGAGCTATCGAAAATCCAAGAAATGACATGTTAAACCAGCCGTTTGGGCCTAAATGACATGATTACTGATATACACTTACAGATCAATATCCAGGTACAACATCGATTTTAACGAATGGAATGTGAGGAATTTCTATTATTTCTATTAGCATTGATAATTTATTAACAACGTTATATTCAATAGGAAATATCACTGATAATGAAATATTTCCTCGGCACTGGAATTACAGGGGTAGAAGAGGACAGAAGACAGTATACCAAGCAGACTTGATTATTCGGAAGGGAAAGAACTGTATCCGGAGGGCCAATGAAATATAGTGTTTGCTTTTGCAGTAATGGAATTGGTCGTTTGTTAGAATTTTTCAGGGGGGGGGGGGGGTCCATTTTTTGGGAGGGAGTGTGCATGAGGGTGTATGTGGGGGGGGGGGGGGGGGGCTTTTTTTTTTTT